AAAGACCTTGGACAAGTCATCACACCTCTTGTTCCTCAGTTTACTCCTTTGTAAGATGAAGGTAGACCAAATGAAGTAATTTCCTCCCCTAGCTTGAACAGCACATGTCCGCATATGTACATATATGCATGTATGCCTTAAACAAAAGATTAATGTCAAACGGGCCTCCAAACCACACTGGGCACAAGAGACATCAGGGCCAGGGAACCTGGGCTTGAATCCTGCTTCTAACGAGCTATGTGGCCTCGGGCAACTGACCCCACCTCTGTGGGCTTCAGTCATCCAATAAGCATGTATTACTCATTTATTGGGTGCCAGGCCCTTTGCTAAATGCTGTGGAAACACAGAAGGGCGAAGAGGGACCCCAGATAGGAAAATAATGTGCACGGACTAGAGGATCCCATAGGGCCCTTCCCCTGTCAGTCCTGGGAGAGCTTTCAAAGGCCAGAGTCTGGGGACAGGCTAGTGAAAGTAACCTTCACATTAGCCGCTTAAAGGGAACAACAGGACCCTGGCATTGATGTAGTCCAGCACCTTCATTTGACAAATGGAGAAACTGAAGGGGCCCAGAGAGGGGAAAGAGCTTGCCCACGACCACACATGAGCCCAGAAGGGATGGCCCTTGCCCAAGATCACATCAGCAGTGTCCAAGTCCAGGACGTGATTCCTGGAAGGCAAATATGGCCGAGTGAGACAAGTGGGACAAAAACAAGATGTCACTTTCTTCAAGTGTCCTCGTGTTCCTTCCTGCCTCGGAGGAGACCGAGGGAGGGCCGGGGCACTTCTGATGGGAAGGCAGGAGGGCGCCAGCTTTCCTCTTTTGCACATTTGAGGAGATGGGTGCGTGTGTGCGTGTGCTTACTCTTGCCTGGGTATGTGTGTTGGTGGACATCTGTGATGCAAGGCTTGTTGTCTCAGCTGCTGGGTGGGGCAGGTTCTGGCCTCAGCTCCTGGCGGATTCTTGCATTTTTCTTTGTGGCTGAGCTGGGGTCAAGTCAGAGCCAGGATGTAGGCAGCCACTCACTCACTCACTTACTGGCTTCCTCTATGGGAAAATCAACTTTCTCTTTTCTGGAAGTCACCCCCCTCCCCTACTTGGAGAGCTGGAAAAGCTTGGGTGTGGGTGGTATCCAGATGTTGGGTTGAGTCCCATCTAAGCCACTGAGTTAGTGGGTGTGACCTTGGGCAAAGTCCATCCTTTCTGGGATGTAGAGGCAGAGGACCTGGGTTCTGCTGCTTACTAGCTGTGTGTGGTCATGAGTGAACTCTTTCCCCTCCTGGGCCCCCCTCAGTTCCCCCCCTTGTCAATGCCAAGGTCACTTTGTGCCCTCTGAGTCTATGATGTGAAGGTTTCTATCACCTCTGTTCTTCTTCCTCCTCACAAACTTAGTCGGACTGGTGGACTCCCCTTGGCCACCGACCCTCCCCCAAAGCCTGGTGAACGGGGTGCTGGGTTCCATCTTCCTGGGTCTGCCAGGAATTAGGAGAATCAGCATGCAGGTCCAAGGGGAGGGGAGAGGGAGGAGCCAGGGTCAGAGACACAGTCTGAAATGGGTCATCGATGACCTGGAACCAGAAGGACCATCCAATCCACCCCCTTATTGTACAGATGGGGAAGCTGGAGGCCCAGAGAGGGACTTGCCCAGGTTCATAAAAGCACCAAGTTACAGAGTAGACCCTGAATTCACTAGAGTGAGGGAAGGCTGAGTGTTAGCTGGTTGGGGGAGGAAGGAGCAGGGCAGCTCTGGGCTTAGGACCAGGACAAGACTAACTGTTACCATTGTCCTTGTCTGCCAGCTCACCACAGCCAGATACCCTGTAGTGGTGAAGATGGGCCATGCTCACTCAGGCATGGGAAAGGTGAGTCTCCCTCCCCGTCCGTCACTGAGAACTGGTGGCCCCCTGAAGCCTAATAACCCTAATAATGAGACTGTCCAAAGTTCACTGGGATGCCTCGAAAGGCCAGGATTCTCCTCTTCCCAGAGGACTCTAATTGGAGACTGGTTGAATCCTTTTCGGGGATATCACAGCTGAGGGCTCTGAGCTCTCTTCCATACTTGAGTTTCTGCTCATGGGCCCTGGTATACCAACAGGCCCCGTGCCAAATAGTCCAGGAAACCCTGACCCTGGTCTCTCAACCTTGGCCTCCAGGTGAAAGTAGAGAATCAGTATGACTTCCAGGACATTGCTAGTGTGGTGGCGCTGACCAAGACCTATGCCACAGCAGAGCCCTTCATTGATGCCAAGTATGATGTCCGGGTGCAGAAGATCGGCCGCAGCTATAAGGCCTACATGTGAGACTGCTGGAGCTCGGTGGGGTGGGCCTCAGCTTGTCTCCTCATGTCCTCCTTAGATGTGCAGGGGGGTGGCTCCTGTGCTAAGTTATGCCCTGGGTTGGTCTCATCACCGCCTTAACTCCTGGCCCTTTACTTTTCTCCACAGTCCTAACTTACATGGGAGCCCCTCCCCTCAGTGTCCTTCTCCTGAATCTGCTACTCTTCCCCCCCCCCCAAACTGGCTTAACAGAACGCTCCCTGAAACGCTTCTCTGCTCCCTCCCAGGAGAACCTCAGTGTCCGGGAACTGGAAAACCAACACAAGCTCAGCCATGCTGGAGCAAATCGCCATGTCTGACAGGTGGGGCCGGCGCGGGAAGGGGGCCAGGGAGGAGCGGCAGTGTTAGGAAGACAGCTAGTACACTGAAGCTCAACCCGGTCCACACAGAAACCAGGGATATTTAGCCTGGACAAGCTTTTAGGGAGATAGGCCGGCCCTTCAAGTGTGTTGAACCCAATTCCTATGTTGAAGAGACTGGATCTGCTTGGCAGTGCTTGGGGGTGGGGGTGGGGTGGGAGAAAGCACAGAGGCAAAGTTAAACCTGGTGAAAAGCAAAACTTTGGAAGCCTGGGAGCAGTCCCAAAGTGCAGTGAGTTGCCTCAGTAGAGTGACCAGCTGTCTACTTTTCTGAGACGTTCTGGCACAGCCTTGATCACCTCTGTTCACAGGTACAAGCTGTGGGTGGACACATGTTCCGAAATCTTTGGGGGCCTGGACATCTGTGCTGTGGAGGCCCTGCATGGCAAGGATGGGCGTGACCACATCATCGAGGTCAGTGCTCCTCCTCCCAACCCCCCCCCATGTGAATCTGGCCGGCCTCCTTGTCCCCAGAGCAGGCCTTTCCAACCTCTCCCTTGCCCCTAGGTGGTCGGCTCCTCCATGCCACTCATCGGGGATCATCAGGATGAGGACAAGCAGCTCATTGTGGAGCTTGTGGTTAACAAGATGGGCTTGGCCCTGCCCGGGCCCCGGGAAGCCTCTCCTGGCCGCGGATCCCACTCGCAGGTTAGGCCCCAGCAGTTCTTCCACTAAGATGGGAAGGGAAAGTGGCTGGGGGGGGGGGGTCACATCAAGAGTCTGAACACCGTGTTCATCCCACTCTTTACCCAGGCTCCTTCACCAGGGGCACAGGCTGGGGGTCGCCAGATGGGGCCTCCAGCTCAGCAGCGCCCCCCACCACAGGGTAAGCAAGGGCCTTCCTGGTGGTTGGACGACTTTATGGAGGGGAAGGGATTCTGGTTGAGGGAGATGAGCATCCAAGACTGGAGATGCCCAGTGTAAGGGCTGGCCTCTTTGCGGAGAGGAGGGGAGGTGAGGGTCAGGCAGCTCTATCTAAATGCGCACGCGCGCGTCTGTTTCACTCGCAGGGGGCCCCCAGCAGCCTGGGCCGGGACCTCAGCGCCACGGCCCCCCTTCCCAGCAGCGCCCCCCGCCTCAGGGCCAGCCGCTCCAGGGCCTGGGCCCCCAGGCGGCCGTGGCCGCGCAGCCGCGCCTCCCCAGCCCTAGCGGGCAGGCACCGTCGGGTTCCGGCCGCCAGCCACGTCCATCGGGCTCGGGGGCCGGCCTACAGGCGCGCGGCCCCCCGCAGCCGCAACCCCCGCAGCCGCAGCCCCCCCCGCAGCAGCCACAGCCTCCTCCTCCGCAGCCGGCTGCGGCGCAGGGCCCGCGCCAGGGCAGTCAATCCCCGCAGCCGCAGCCGCGCCAGGCCGGGCCCGCCCGGGGCCAGGCGGCCGGGGGCCCGCAAAGAGCTCCACAGCGAGCGCCGCCCGGACCTCCGGCAGGCCCCACGCGGCAGCTGAGCCAGGCGGGCCGCCCGGGCCCGGCCTCCGGGCCGCCCACCACACAGCAGCCACGGCCCAGCACCCAGGGCCAGGGCCGTGCTCCCGCCGGGCCTGGGCAGCCCAAGTCCCAGCTAGCCCAGAAGCCGAGCCAGGACGCGCCGGCCGCTGCCCCGCAGCTGAAGTAAGGGCGGGGCCTCGGGCAGGGGGCGGGGCATCGGACGGAGCGGGGCCGCCTGGGCCCCGCCCCGCGGTAACTCTGCGTTTCTCTCCCTCCTCCTCCTCCTGGTCTCGTCCCGCCCCCGCCCCGTCCTCCTTTCCTCCGCCCGCCCGCCCGCCCGCCTTGTTTCTCTTCAGCAAATCCCAGTCTCTGACCAATACCTTCAACCTTCCAGACCCGGCCCCGGCCCCACCCCGGCCCAGCCTTAGCCAGGACGAGGTGAAGGCGGAGACCATCCGCAGCCTGAGGAAATCCTTCGCGAGCCTCTTCTCCGACTGATTCCCCCCTCCCCGACTTCCCCCCCAGGTGTGACCTCCCCCCAGGCCTCCGAGGCCCCCAGCACCCGGGATGGCTGTGTCTTTAAATATGCAAATCACCGAGCGTTTCCCGTGCCCTCGGGCGGGGCCGGGGCGCTCCTCCCTCTCTCCCCCCCCTTGTGCGCGTGCGTGTAAGTGTGCCGTCCGTGTGCCTGCCCGTGACCCTCGTGCCGCCGCTTGGCGTGTATTGGAATTTCTTGTGAAGCCTGTGATGCGTGCAGTGAAGCTATAGTGGCCCCTCCCCGCCCTGCCCCAATCTGTTACTCTGACCAGAGAAGAGTCAAGAAACGTAATTAAGTGATCAAAGCGAGAGCTGGGCAGCCTCCTGTGCTTCTTGGGGGTGGGGGGGTGGGAGGAGAGAGAAAGCAGGCGCAGGAGTGGGGGGTGGGGGTGGGCGCCCTTCCTCCCCTCTGGCCTTTGAACCCGTCATCCCCCACCCCAGGCCGCCTGCTTCTGGGGAAACTGGAGTCATTGGGAAACGCAACGTGGGGCCCCTGGCTCACTGCCCCAGGGCTGGCCGGAGCCACTAGGGCCCGAAGAGGCGCAGGGCTCCCAGCAAGGAGGAAGGCAGTTCCTCGGTCTGGGCCCGGTGCAGCGAGGGCTCTGACGCGCTGCGCTCAATCTTAGGCAGCACTCGCTGCAGCAGCTCAATGGTGACCAGGATCTAGAGGGAAGAAAAGAAGCAAGCCTTGGGGCCTGAGCCTTCCCGGGGCCTGCTCCAGCTCTACACCCGCCCGGAGGGGGTCTTCTGACCTCGGGGAACAAGGGCCGTTCCTCCCGCTGGAAACGGAGACAGTCTGCCAGCAGTCTCTTCATGGCTTTAGGACAGTTGTTGGAGACCTTGGTGAGGTCTGGCGACAGATAACCTCGTCCTACCATGAAGATGATCTGGAACCAGAGCAGGGGGTGAGCATCAGATCACTAGGGACAGCGCCACCCCTGGTAGGGGCCTGGAAGGAGGCTCTCAGGCCAAGGGAAAACCGGAGTGTGGAGGGTCAGTCAGGCCAGAAGAGTGGTCAGGGGTAGGGAGAGAGGAAGGAAGAAGAAAGAGTGTCCACCTGATCTCTGTTGTTGATGTGGCTATAGGGAAGACTGCCACTCATGAGCTCATACAAGACCACCCCGTAGGCATAGACATCCGACTGGAAGCTGTAGGGATTCTTGTCCTGCATTCGGATCACCTCTGAGGCCTGTGAGGTCCAGGAGCCTAGGTGAGCTGGCTGGCCAGTTACTGAACACTGGCCTGCTCCCCCATCCTATCCTGTCATCTGTGTTCACACCCCCCCCCCTCCGCGCCTCACCATCCAGAGCACAGAGCCAGTGGGCTGCTCTACTTGCTGGGCACCGCTCCATCGGGTCTTCACTGTGGCCAGCCCAAAGTCTCCAATCTTCACTGTCAGCCCCTCGTGCAGAAAGATATCTACATCCTTGTCAAGGGCCACAGACGGCACTCTCTGGGCACTCTACCCTCCCTATATCTTCCTACCTCAAAACCCCTGAGTACACATTGCATTTCCCACCCCCACTCCCCTTGGAAAACACATGCCCTCTCTTTGCAGTCTCTCCTCAAGGGAGTGCCAGGGGGATACTGTTGGATTTGAGATCTCGGTGAATGATGTTCTTGGCATGGAGATAACTGGAAGGAAAGGGAATATGAGTTAGGAAGAGCTGTTTGTAGCACGTGGGCTGGGGGGGGGTACTTGTGGAATAGCTCTGAGCTGAGCCACGTGTGAACAGTGCATGCAGAGGGCTTCAGAGGAACTCACTCCATGCCCTGAGCTGTCTGCCGGGCCACATCGATGAGTTGTACCATATCAAAGTGAGTCTCAGCCACGTGCAAGTGGTGGTAGAGGCTGGAACCCTCACACCACTGGGTGATGATGGCAAAGGCGGGCCTTGTCATGAATCCCATGAACAAGAGGATATTCACATGGCGAGTCTTCCTGCCCAAGGTGGGGAGGGTGGTGGTTAGCTCAGGCTTGCCCAGAGCTGGCTCATGCTCTATGCTGGCAGGAGTGCACATGCTCACCTGAGGACCTGCATCTCATTCTTGAAGGCCTGGGCCTGCTCAGCTGTGGGCTGCGCCACCTTTAACACCTTCACAGCCACATCCCCATGCCATCGCCCACGGAACACAGTCCCAAATGAGCCTGTCCCGATCCTCTTCAGCAGTTGCACCTCCCCTGGGGCTACCTCCCAATAGTAGCCTGAGTCTCGGTAGCCCAGAGACTTCTGGGAGGACAGGGGGGACAGTGAGCTGCCCATTCCCCCAGCATCTCCCCCATTATTCCCCTCTTCTTGAATGAGTGAGTGAGAGAGAGAGAGAGAGAGAGAGAGAGAGAGAGAGAGAGAGTGAGTGAGAGTGTGTGAGAGTGTGTGTGTGTTCCCCAGCTCACCACTTTCTTCTTATCATCAGCTGAAGCTAAGGGGCTTGCGCTCAGGGGGCTCTGATGAGAACTTGGGGTGTGGGGATTTCCTTCCAGGGGAGGACACGAGGCTGGGGCCAGGACTGCCTTGGGGGGTCTTCTCCCCCACTGTTCCTGGGAGAGGCAAGAACACAGATAAGAAACCAGAGAGCAATGGAAGGCCAGAGTATGAGGGGAGGGGGGCAGCAGGGCCTGGGGTCAAGGAAATCAGACACTCACCTTCAGCAGCAACGGCCTGGGCTGCCTGCTGTGGGAAGAAAGAGCAGGAGCAGAGGTCAGCCTTGTCTTTGAACTCCTGGAGCCTCTGTCAGGGATTCCCTGACCTTCCTAGCTCCCTCAGGCCAGGGGCCTCATTCTGGTCTCACCATCCCAAGTCCCTGTCCCTGACCCTCCAGATCTTCCTTTGCCTCCTATGTTTCTAACCCAATTCCCCCAGACTACCTCCTTGGGGAGTTCTTATTGGTTTTTTTTGTTTGTTTTTTTTTGGTTGGGCAGTGGGGGTTAAGTGACTTGCCCAGGGTCACACAGCTAGTGAGTGTTATGTGTCTAAGGCTGGATTTGAACTCGGGTCCTCCTGAATCCAGGGCTGGTGCTCTATCCACTGTGCCACCTAGCTGCCCCTGGGGAGTTCTTACTGGGTCACGATCAAGGGAGGGCAGTTCTTGATTGCCCTACCTGTATGAGCCTGCTGTCCACAGGCAATGTCGTGCTGATCATGTGCACATTGGGTGTGGATGTAGAGCGGATCCTCTGAAGGGGTGGGCCTCCAGGCCCAGGGAAAGCAAAAGTCTCCCCATGGGAGGCCTGTGTTTGTGTCCTGGGGGGGAAGGAATGGGGAAGAGGAGGAGGAGGTGGAAGACCCTGGGGCAAGATGACCTATGACCTCCCCCTCCATCTCCCTCCTGCTGGTCTTACCTGGGGCTCTTTGGGGCGAGGGGCTCACATAGGGTCTGCCTGCCAGGCTGGGGCTCATGAGCACCAGGGCCTCCAGTCAAGTCCTGGACACTGCGGTAGAAACTGGAGCCAGAAGAGAAAAAAGAGACCCTAGGAAGGCTGGGGAGGATGGGGAGCCCCCGGAAAGGCCAGCTGGGATGAGGGAGATCCCTCCCCACCCCAGAGAGGAGATCCCAGGGGCTTGGGAAAGGACCACAGGCCTCACGGTTGGCGGGCGGTGGCCATGTCAACGCAGACAGTGGGGACGCGGGCACTGCAGTGTTGGTGGAACTTGTAACCACATGTCTGGCAACGGAAACCATGGAAGAGGAAGCGGCGGCAGAAGTCACAGAAGGTGAGAGCCAGGAATGTCTTCCGGGCAAAGTTATGGGCAGCCGCGAGCGGAACATCAGCCCGGACCTCGACCGTCAGTTCTTCCCCGTGCAAGGGAGCAATGGCTGCGTCCCAGGCTGTTGCGGTCTTCCGTCTAAGGGACCCGAGAGGATGAGACATATGGGGTGGAAAGGATCAGTGATGGCCAAGGAGGAGGAGACAGGCTAGGGGGGCTGGGAGAAGGGAGGGCAGACAGGGAGCTCACCCCTGCACGAGGCGGTAGACAGCGCAGCAGTCTTGGTTCAGTCCCCGCACCTTCAGTGCCTTGTCCAACGAGTCGGAGACGGTCATGCCATCCCGCGCAGTTACCTACCAGGCCCCGATTCCCCCAGATGCTTGTGATTTACTTCTTCCCAAGTCTCCCTTCTCGTCCCAGCTCCCCAGATTCGGAATCTCACCCTTCCCTGGGCAAGGACCCTGATCTTCCTTCCCTGCTGGGTTGCTCACCACTGTGCGCTGCTGGTTGGGCAGATAGACCTTCACAGTGCCCCCAACCCGACTGCTGGTGGGAGGGATGGCATCAGAATCCTCAGGCGGGGTTAGGCCCCTGGAGGGTTCCACTGGGGTGGCAGTCGGGCCTCGTCTCATCTTGTCCCCCCCACATCCAAAGGCGACCTGAAAGGTGAGGATGGACGCTGTTGGGCGACAAAGATGATGGGGTAGGCTGTAAATCTCTCTACATTACTGAGGTGATGAGGAAACTGGTGCGGCAGGAAGGGTGCTGACTTTGGACTTGGAAGCCTTGGGTTCAAATCTTTTTTTTTTTTTAAGCTAGGCAAGGGGGTTAAGTGACTTGCCCAGGGTCACACAGCAAGCTAGTGTCATGTGTCTGAGGCCAGATTTGAACTCGGGTCCTCCTGAATCCGGGGCCGGTGCTCTCTCCACTGTGCCACCTAGCTGCCCCTTGTGTTCAAATCTTGACTCTGCCATTTACTAGCTGGATGACCTTGGGCAAGTCCCTTCACCTCTGCTTGCCTCAGTTTCCTCCTTTGGTCAAATGATAAGGTTCTTCCTGTCCAGTTCTAGCTCTATGGCCCCTGTGATGTCCAAGCACCATTAGAATGATAATGATGCTGGGATGGCCTAAGATCCCTCATTACCATTTATGGGGTTAAAATATCTGGGGCAGGGGAAGAGCTGAAGACCTCGAACTCTTGGGGGGGAGTCAGGAAAGCTTTAGTTCCCATGAAGGAGGTTGATGGAGTTGGAGATAGCAATCTCTGAGCATTGTTAGAGGGCCAAGGATGATGGGATAGGAGACTATGAATCCTGCCCCCAACAGCTGGTGCCATCCATCCCATCCTCAAATTCCAGCCCTAATTCTAATCCTTAGGGATCTTCTGTGAAGGCGTTTACATGATGCCAGGGAAAACTCTGAGGTGGGAGTGGGGCTGCCACAGAAAGAAGCAGGAGCAGCACAGCCTGGGTGCTGGCAAGGAAAGTCAGCAGAACTTGGTATGGGGTTGCAGATAGAGACGTGTTTGAACAATGCAAGGAAGGAACATTTCCACAGCACCCTAAGAGCCTTTTTGTTGTGCCAAGGCAGGGGCTGTGGGATCCAAGAATTTAAAAAAAAAAAGTTTTCAAAGGTATCCTGACCCTCCCACAGTTCTTTACACATGTTTTCAGCTGTAAACACAGTTGAGTAAAGCAGGGACTTCAGAGTGGTCACTCCATATAGATCAGTGTTTACAGCCGGGCCCCTGGGGAAGCAACAAGTGCCATCTGATGTAGAATGGTAGAACTATGGACATCAGCAAAGGAACACAGAGGTGGAGCTATGGTGGACAGCTAGTGGGTCTTGGAGAAACAACCACCACCTGTTGAGCAGAGTGGTTAGGAAGAGCAAACCCTGGCATTATTACTCTGGCTGGAGCCCCACCCAGGGGAGTATCATAAGTCAAACACACTGTTTTGGGATGGGGGGAGGGGCGTGTGCACTGTGCGTTCCTCTTTATGAGTGACTGTATGTGTGTGTGAAATTTCCGTGATTCTGTGGTCAGCCTTGTGAGCCTGAGTACTTATAAGGGGAGCCAGTGGCTACTCAAGTGGTTCCCAGACTCCAGATGGGTGGGGACAACGAGCCAGAGACAATCGAGAGGTGCTCCAGGTGTCCCTGGGCCTTCACTTCGAAGAGACGTGGACTCGGGGAGCGGGAGGGGCGAGGCACGGCCGAAGGGGGTGGGGCCCGAAAATCTCAGAAAACCCTTCGCATGACCTAGATGTTGGGGTTAGCCGGAGATCTCCAGAGCCATTACCAGGAAGCTCTCATCACTAGGGAAAACGAAGCTCCCGACAGTGGCTGGGGATTTCCAAGCGCCAGAAAAGGGGAGAGGGAGGTGGAATGGAAAGATCGGGGGAGGGGGGGAAGAGAAATGACCCCACCCTGGGGGGCCCTGTGCGCAGGCGCCAGCAGCCAGACAGTTTAAAGTAACCAATTCCCGTGCCCCTCCCCCTTCCTTTTGCGCCTGCGCGTTGCGTCCAGCTACCCCTCCCAGAGACGGGAGATTCCATTCTTTTTCCGTGAAGGGGGGGGCGCACGGGACAAGACAGGAAGTAATACGGAACGGCCACCGTGGCTTCAGCCTGGCGTCACCTTACCTGTCACGGTGCTGCCACAGTGGCCTCCTCCATCTTGGAGCCCGTCTTTCCTCTCCCGGAGGGTGGAACCGGCCACGGCCGCCCCAAGGCCCCGGTTCCGTCAGGCCTGCCCCCATCGAGATCCCATTGGCCGCTTCAGCTTCGGTGAAGCCCCTACCCACAATCTCATTGACCATAGGAGCCGCCGCTCCTCCAGAATTTCATGCTCATTGGCGGTCGCTTCCCCCTTCTTACGCCGACGGCGCTGATTGGTCACTCTGGGGTTTACCTCTTTCCTTTCAATCCTTCACTCTCCTGGAGCCCCGCCTCTCCCGAGCGCTTATTGGTCACTTCTGCCGCAATTTTTCTTCAGTTCATTGGCTGCGAGGGCCACCTTCTCAATCCTGGGAGCCCCCACCTCGGTCGAATGTTCATTAGATGTTTCTCTCCCCACCCCTCCTAGGCCCGCAGTCATTGGTCAGGGCGTCTTGCTCCTCTTCCTCCTCCCACTCTCTGCTGGTGCACTCTCATTGGCAGCCTAAGTCTTGCTGTCGGTTTTGGCTCCTTAAGCCGACCAGGAGAAGGGGGAGTGGGGGGGGGGGAAGACTTGATTGAGAGGTGGGTGGTGCGGGCGTGATGCTGCAGCCCGCCAGAGGGGTGAAGAATGTGGCTGGATGAGTGCTTTTGAGTGATCTGTCCCAGGAAAGGATCTTAGAGCAAACAGACTGTCTTCCCATCATTCCCTTTCCCCTCCCCTCCCCCTTTGCTTGTTTCTGTCTCTTTCTCTTGTCTCTGCCTTTCTCTCCTTCCTTTCTCTCTCTCTCTCTCTTAGTCCCCCAGCTCCCTAGATGTTTCCCTGGGAAGATATGGTCACCTCAGGTCAAGCTCTGTCTGTCACCCGTCCTTGTCAGCATTAATTCGAGGAGAGAAATGGGGGGGGGGGAGAGAAAGAGAAAGAGAGAGAGTTTTGAAATCCCGAAGGAAGAGAGCTCAAGATACCTATCACTTTAGACCAGGGGCCTTTCAGAAGAAAGGGCTCACCAATGATAAAAGCCTGAGCACTTGGATACCTCAGGCTGAGCTATGCTTTTCATTTTGTCATAGTCCAGCCAAGGAAAGTGAGGAGCCTGCTGAAACAGTGAGATATCTGGAAAAGCACTGAGGAAAAAAGTCACCTCCAGTTGAGATCCATCCCTGTCAGCTCTCAGCCAAAGAGAGAAGAAAAATGGGGGACTGACTACAAAGGTCCCCATAAGCAGAGATCTCTGAGGAAGGGAGCCTTAGCCTCAGGATTACCTCAGGCCAAGGAACAGTACTCATTCCTATAATTTTCAGGCTAAGATAAGACTTATGAGACTCCTGATGCCCTCTGAAAGGCATGGAGTGCCACTAAGAATGAGGGCCTAGGCTGCTGGAGGCTAAAGGGTAGTAGATGCCACCTGTTGTCATTAGGCCAAGGAGAGAGCTGGGAGACCGCTGGGAACCTAGTAAAGACCTTAAAACCAGTGGGAGCAAGGGCCTAGGTCACCTCAGGCTGAGACTTTCTGCCCTGTAAAAACCCACCACAGGGTTCCTTGCACTTCTGGGTTCCAGAGGCTGTAGATGAGTGTATTGAGCATGGGGCTGAGGACAGTGTTGAGGATTCCAACCCCTTTGCTCTGGTCTAAGGCCTCAATGGAACCCAGGCACATGTAGCTGAAGATACCAGCCTCATAGAAGATGCCCACAATAGCCAGGTGTGAGCTGCAGGTGGAGAAGGCCTTTCTCCGACCCGCTGCTGATTGGATCTGCAGCACAGCAGCTGCTACCTGCAAGTAGGAGGTGACAATGAGGATCATGGGGTCTCCTGCCATGATGACACCCAGAGCAAAGAACAGCAGCTAATTGAGGTGAGTACTGGAGCAGGCAAGGTGAAAGAGTAGGGGGAGGTCACAGTAGAAGTGGTTTACCACATTGGGGCCACAGAAATCAAGAGTGGATAGTGCCACCATATGGGTCAATGCATTTCCAAGTGTGCAGGCCCAAGATGCACCCACCAGCACTCCCTGGACTCCTTGGCCCATGTGAGTTGTATAGGTGAGAGGGCAGCAGATGGCCAGGAAGCTATCATAGGCCATGGCAGTCAGCAGGAAGCAGTCAACCCTAACGAGCAGGTGGAAGAAGAAGAGCTGAGAGAGGCAGGCAACAAAGGGGACAGCTTGCTCTCGGGATAGGAGTTGCACCAGCATTGGGGGCACTGTGACACTGACACACCCAATATCTAGCAGTGACAAATTCCCCAGAAAGAAGTACATTGGCGTATGCGGCTTAGGCTCCACCGAGATGGCAGCCAAGATGCCCAGGTTGCCACCAACTGTGGCCACATAGGCCAAGAGAAAGATGGCAAAAGGATTGGCTGCAGTTCCCACCTCTCTGTCAGCCCCAGTAAGATGAACTTGGTCACAGCTGTCACATTATATCTAGGTTGGAGGTCCATGGGTGGGCTCTCCTTGGCCAGTAGCAAGATGGCTGAAGGTGAAGTTGGCTGAGGTAGAAGCCACAATAGAATAGAATTGTTAGCTCAGAGTTGGGGCCCCATCGTCTCCCTCCCCCCACAAGCTTGAGCTCTCAACAGCATCTCTGCTTCTCACATTTCCCATCCATCAGATTCAGTTGGTCATCAAGATCTGATATCTCAGTGGATAGAGCACTGGCCTTGAAGTCAGGAGGACCTCAGTTCAAATCTGGCCTCAGACCAAACACTTGACACTTACTAGCTGTGTGACCCTGGGCAAGTCACTTAACCCCAACTGCCTAAAAATTAAAAAAAAAAATTAAAATTAAAGATCTGATATCTCAGCCATCTGTCTCTACCTCTTTAGGTCTAACCATGGTCTCACCCAACACTCCTTGACCCTTTGCTTGGACTATGTGATGTCCCTCCAACTTCTAGTCTCCTCCACCCAACCTGTCCTTGCTAGGAAATCCCTCCTCACCCCTTCTGGTATGAACAATGTGGTATGTGTACCTGCGTGTGTGTGTGTGTGTGTGCGTGCGTGTGTGCGTGCGTGCGTGTGTGTTTTGCTCTCTCTTTTCAATAACATGCTCTTCATCAACTGTAGATCCCCTTGGAATCTTCTGCCTAGGTGAGAATGCAGAGTCTACTCATGTCTTAGTGAAATCAAGAATCAGCCTGGCTGGTTTCCACCCAACGTCTCATCTTCAAAAGAAGCCAGGGAGTGCCAGATTGCTGTCAGATCCAAATAGGTATGGGGAGAAATTAGTTTTGTTTCACAAGGGAGTGAAATAGAAAACTAGGGAGAAGACAGAAAAAAAATAGAAATATATAGAATATATATTATTATAATATATTATTATATAATAAATAGATAGATATATATAGAAAAATATAGAAGACTGTTCGAAAAACATTTTCTGAGCTTTGCACAACACCCCTGGTTGATTGTCCTTGGTGGCTCTGATTTTGACATAGAAGCTTATGAAACTTTCTTTCCAAAACTTGAAGGCATCAGAGTGGGAATTTTCTGAGCATGGACTTGCAGGTTCCTATTAGTCGTGTCCAGGCTTCTTACTCCTCAGCCATAACAAGAAAAAAAAGTCCCAAGTACAAGGAGGTACCCCCTTCACTAGAAATGTGGAGTATCAGAGTGGAAAGCAGGCCCAGCTTTGCAGACACAGTGAAGCAATGGGATTTACCCATGCTTTCAGTGTGGCTTAGCAGCTAGAAAGAATCCTGACAGCAGAATCAGGGAGCTGCCCTGGATTCTGACACAGACTGGCTGGCCAGGTGATCCTGGGCGAGTCACCTCCTTCTCTGTGCTGCACAAGATGTTCAGAGACGGTCCACTGCAGAGAAGGTGCTAAGCCGCAGCAGCTCAGGGGTCTTCCTGTATCCCGAGGGGCTTGTGGCTTCAGCTCGGCTTCCTGCTGGGGGCAGATGATTTGGAGGCACCACACCAATGTCTGTTCTTGGTAAATGAGCTGAGCAGACCTCCAGAGCCCCAGCTTGACTCACCTGAGCCCAGGGACTCATTTGCTCATGAACACTTCCCTTTAATCGAGCCATCCGCACATCTGGCCAATTCACAGCATATGCCTACAGGCGGGACTGACAATCATGACGGGAAATCAAGAAGTGCAGTCAGTGAAGAGGGACAAGGCTGCTGGGCCCTTGGTCTGTTTAACCGGACTGCTTGTGCAGCCAGCGGGGCCCACATTTTTTGTCCCGGACTTCTGCTCTTGATCTCATTCCTATCCCTCTCTTCTGGGAACTCTTCCTGTTGACCGTTCAGGCAATGATCAGCAAGCATTTACTGAATGCTTACTCTATGCAGAGTTCTGGAGCCATAAAGCCAAAAGGGAAGTAGACCTTGCACTCGAGGAGCTTATATTCTTCATTTGTATACATATATGCACAGAACAAATAGAAAATGAAGACAGGGTGGTTATGGGAGGATGTACACTGACAGCAGAGAGATCCAGAAAGGCATCCAGTAGAAGGTGGCATTTGAATTGAATCTAGAGGGAAATCCAGGATATAAAGAGTCCCTTCCTATCCAGAGGGTAGGAAGAACTACATTGCAAACACAAATGACCTACAGTACAGAGGTGTGGAGACAGGAGATAAGAGTATGTGGGGAACAGTGGGAAGAAGCCACGATGGTTAGATTGCAGAGGAGAGGAGGGAAAGCCTTCAAAAGCCAAAGAGAGAAGTTTGCGTTTGATCTTAAAGGTGACATGGAGCTACTGGAGAATGTGGCTAAGTGAGTGTGTAACACAGAGACAGAGACAGAGATAGAGACAGATGGAGAGGGAAGGGCGTGAAGCATGCTCAGCATCTCTCTCCTCTTCAATATTTTTTTCATGTCCATCCGCTTCTTCTCCTCTGTCTCCGAGCATGTAAGACAAGTCAAGAAGCCTTCATTCAGTGCTTACTGTGTTAAGGGCTAGGAGTGCAAATACAAACCAAAAGAGAGTCCCTACCTTCAAGAAGCTTCCTTAAATTCTGCTGGGGGAAGAGAACATATTAAAGGAAGCTGAAAAGTGGAAGGGAGAGAAAAAAATACCTATATGGGGCCAGGTGAGGACTGGAGCCGAGAGAGGAAGGAAGGAGTAACGGGGCTGGCCCACACTCTCCCTGCAAATGGAGGTTCCTGGGGGATGTGACCAATGGGAAGAAGGGCCAGTGAGGGGACTTATGGGGCGTGATGGTGGAACCATCTGCGAAGGTGAGAAAGCCAGTGAGGAAAGGTGGAGCTTATCTGTTCGGGAGTGAGGTCCCGAGAGGGGTGACTCAGTGCTCTGCTCCTTAGATGTGAAGTTGGTCCTACAATACTTTCGACCCTTCATTTCTTTTCCTTTTCTCAGTCAAACTCCTAGAAAGAGTCCTCCTCATTTGCTGCCTGCACTCCCATTTGCTTCCTCATTCTCATCACTCTGCGGCTACAGCTTCCTCCCCCCAGGCTGCCGATCGGTTCTTCACAATACATCCAGTAGGCTTTTTTAACCCTGGCTTCCTTCTCCTGGTCGATTGCCCAGTCCTTCTCTTTCTTTGGCTCTTGGGCTCGAGCTGCTCCTTCTGAGCACCCTTGTAGGACTCTCATCCCTGCCCCACTTCCCCCCAAGGCTTCATCCTGGGCCCTCCCCCCTTCTCTCTAGTCTCTCTTTTGCTGCTTTATCATCTTCCGTGAGAGGGAAGGGAGAGGAAGGGAGGGCGCCTTTATATAGCTCTGCTATGGACCAGGCACTGTGCTAAGTGCTCTACAGACATGATCTCATTTGTCAACCAGAACCCTCATTTTACGATTGAGGATACTGAGGCAGACAGAGGTTAAGTGACTTGCTCAGGGTTACACAGCTAGTGAGTGTTTGAGGTCCCATTTGAACGCCGGTCTTCCTGGCTCCAGGGCCAGCTCTGTATTCACTGCAGCGCCACCTAGCTGCCATGGGTTCAACTGTCTTTTCTATGCAGATGATTGTCTGATGTGTATAGGCAGTCCTAGTCTTTGGTCCAGAATTGCTGACTGGCCACTGGCCATGTCCGCATAGTTGTCCTGTGGCATCTTCCTCAGACTGACTTGAGAAATGCTTGTTCCCTTCCCTATTTCTTCATCTATCTTCATCCATTTCTTCTTTCTGTCCAGGTAGCCTCTAGTATACTCAGAATCACAGAATTGGAGGATTGGAAGCTGCCATCTAGTCCACCAAATGCCTAGAAGGAATTTCCACCCTAACCAACAGTTGGAGGGGGGTCGCCTCCCAAGGCAGCCAGTTCAATCCCTAATCCACATGTCAGGGCTTCAGATACTTGAAGACAGCTCTTATGGGTCTTCTCTTCTCCAGACCAAATATTCCTGGTTCCTATGCCTGATCCTTATATGGCCTGGACTCAGTGACCTTCAGCATCATGGTCGCCCTCTTCTGGACACTCTGTAGTTTATCAATATCCTTCTTCAACCATGGTGCTCAGAGTTGAACCCAGTCCTCTAGCTGATGTCTGACAAGGGCAGATGACAGAGGGGTTGTCTCCTTCTTATTCCAGGCAGCCCGATCATTACTTAATGCAGCCCCAGATGGCATGGCCATTTTTGGCTGCCACCTTACACTGTCGACTCATCTTAAGCTTGTAGTCTACTGTAACCTGCAGATTGATTTCCGAAAAACTTCTGCCCAGCCAGACCTCCCACATCTTATGTTGATTTTTTTGCCCATGTGTGAGACTACATTTATTCCTATTAAATTAGATTTAGCTCAATGCTAGACTGTCAAGCTTCTTTTGGACCCCAAATCTGTCCAGCTTGGGATTGTTGGAAAATCTGACGAGCAGACTATGGGTGCCTTTCTCCAAGTCACCGATAAAAATAGGAAACAGGGTCAAGCTGAGATCCCTGGGACATCTCGATGGAGACATTGAACTACTCACAACTTGTTTGGAACTCATATTATCGTATTAGTATCTAGTCCTTATCTCTCCATCTTCTGCATAAGAATAGTATGAAATACTTTATCTAGTGCTCTGCCCCAGCCATAGCCATAGAATCCCCCTCATCTGCTAGGTTATATAGAGATAGAGATAGGGACCAGACCTAGGATTTCATTGATATAGGACCCTCCCAGATGAGGAAACTCCCTCTACTAGTGCAGGTTGGCACCCTCTCTGCAACTTCTAGTCTTAGAGAATTGTCTGGAACACAGAGAGGTTAAGTGACTTGTCCAGGGTCACACAGCCAGTAGGTGTCAGGAGCTCAAACCCAGATTTTCCTGACTCTAAGGCCAGCTCTCTGTCCACTATGCCATGGTTTCCTCTCACTGGTTTAGTAATCCTGTCCAAAAAAAGGAATGAGGTTGGTCTAGCATGATCCGTTCTTGAGGCAGCCACCATGCTGGCCCTCTGTAATTATTGCTTCCCTTTCCTGAGGTTTACTGACCTCTTTATTGATCAGTTCTAGAATCTTCCCAAGTATCAAAGTCAAGCTCAACAGGCTCTACTGTCTTCCCTTTTTGGAAATTGGGACAACATTTGTCCTTCTCCGCTCCTGCAGCATCTGTCCCCTCTTCCAGGCTCTCTCAGGTATCCCTGCCAGAGGCTCAGCAGTCACGGCTGCCAGTTCTCTCGGGACCCAAGGGTGTGGTTCCTCTGGGCCAAGGACTTTTTTTTCTTTAATGGTTTCCTCACTTATCTTGCCTCTGACCCTTGCTAATCATTTTTGTTCTGTGACTTCTGTATCCCCCTCTGTCGGTTTTCCCCCTTTATCTGCTTCCTAGAATTCCTAACATGAGCACATCTTCTTAATATCCAATACAAAGTCTTTCTCTTTGGATCCCTTGCACCTCCTTCTAGAGCCATATGCCCAGTTATGGGTCCTCCTGCTGCCAGGTCTCAGTGAGATTTGGGAATCCCTGTTTGCCCCCTTGCATTCAAACCCCATGCTTGGCGTACTCGTGGACCAATAGCTAAGGCTATGGTTGGGTGGTTGTCATTGTTTTTGGGCTCTTTTCTTGGATTTAGTCTCCTAAGAATTTCTGGTCTTCTCTACTTTTCCTTTTCCTCCCTCATAGCCACTGTGCCAGGTTCTTAGCTTGGTAGCTCTCCAGAGATAGTTTCCTTGTTTCATTTCCCTTTTCAATTTAAAGCTCTTTCTGTGAGATTTTCAAGATTTCAGGTAAACACATTTCCTGCAGCCCTTTAAAGTTGCATTCTGTCCCTGGCCAGGAGCCCATTATTCCTGTACTGCAATCTGGATCCTTGCAATCCAGAACCTATTCTCTGACTGGGTTTTTGTAACCAGTTAGCCAAGTCCCTCAATTCTGCCTCCGGATGTCTTTTCCAACTGTTTCCTTCTGTATATCCCCTGGCCACCGTGTTCTAGTCCAGGCTCCGGTCAGCCCTGGCCTGGACTATTGTAATAGGGCCTGGATTGGTCTCCCAACTTCCAATTACTTCCTCCTCTCAGAGTTGTCAAAAACGTGCTTCTGAAAGCACGGGTCCGACCGTGCAAGTCCTTGCCTGAGGATCTTTGGCAGCCCTTTGCCTTGAGAACATACAAGCTGTTGGCCTGTACAATTGTGCTCTCCGACTTTTGTCCAGATTTCTTTCATATTAGTCCTCTTCAGTAATTCACTGTCCTCAACCAAACTAGCTTACTTCCTGTTTCCTGGCCTAGACATTGGTCTTACTTCCTGTTTCCTCCACCTCAAATTCATTCCCTTCTCTCCTCCATCTCCTGCCTTGGACTTTAAAGCCAAGTCAGCTTGTATTGATTTGTTTGTTCATAAGTTGTATCTTCCAGTAGAAAAGGGACTGGCTTTCTATCCCCACCACCCAGCTCGGTGTCCTGTATATACTCACCAAATAAATGCATGAAGAACTGCATTGAACCTGCCAGATGGACACCTCCCCCCTCTCTTCTCTCTCTTTCTCTAGCTCCTCTCTCTCTCTCTCTTTGTGTCTCTGTCTCCCTCTCTTTTCTCTCTTTATCTCACCTTTATCTTTGTCTCTGACTTTTCCCCTTTCTCTCTTTTTTACTCTTCTGTCTGTTTTTCTCTCCTCTCCTCTTCCTCTCCCACTTCTCTTATAACTCTTCTTTCTCCATCTTCTCTTTCTTTTCCTGCCTCTGAGTTTCCCCCCATCACTAAGGGCATAGACAGGTTAGTCCTGCCGTGACCTTAGGCCACACCTTTCTGAGGTGGTACTTACTTTTCTCCTGTTCTTTCATCCCTGTCTCCGCCCCCCCCCTCGGGTCTTTGGTCTTTTTATTTAACAGTCTCCTGGACACTCTTTTTCAGTCTTGTACACCAGCAGGCCCACCCAGACTGGTCCAGGCTGGGCACCAGGACTCTGCTGGGGGAACCTGGAATTCCAGGACTGTCTGGAGCCTTTGAGAGGTATCATAGCATAGTGGATGACCTTGAAGTCAGAGGCCTCAGAGCCGGGGCTGAGGCCATGGAGAGAGCTCAGGGGCTCCGTGAGAGGGGCCATCTTGATTTTCATTGAGGCTCTTTTTGGGAGCTGTTTTCACAGTGTTGTCTCTATGTCTTGTCTTCCCTGCCAAAGCTTTTTAGGGTCACATTCTTTTGTTGTTGTTGTTGTTTACTCATTTTTCTAGCCTGTGACTATGATTTTGACTTTGAACTTTATAAACTTTGGGTCAAAGTTAGGCTCTGCTCCCCTGGGGGCAGCGAGGTCCTGTCCCAAGCTTCAGGCCTTTTGTGTGCCACTGTTTTCAGAGGTAGTTCTGGGGCCTGCAAGTTTTTGGTGCTTCCAAGATGGTGTGATCTGGGGAGAGGTGTGGTCACTGCTCTCTTGGTCTGTGCTCTGGTCTTCACCCGGGAAGGGCCCCAGTCCTAGGCATCTGCTAGTGCTCTTTTTGCTTTGGAACTGTGACGCAGGTCTGCGTCTGGGCAGTAGAGTTGCCAATCAGTGCCAAGTGTACCTAGTGCCAGCAAAGGGGCCCCTGTAACCTCTTTCTGAGCAGTTGTATGACGCCCCCCACCCCATCTCTGGGCTGAGAGCTCCTGCCTGGGGTGTGGGATCCTGACAGGCCTTCACCCTGAGGCCACAGACTTCTCCTGCCAACCTTGGGTGTTCTTAGGTGGGAAAAATGTCTCACTTGACATTTGTTGGCTCTGCTTTGAGGTGTTATTTTAAAGTTGCTTGGAGTGGAATGTTGGCTGCCCCTAATCTGCCATCTTTGAAAACTTTATTTTCGTTAACCTTTGGATTCTTTTGTAATCCTCTGTATTTTATTGGAGATATTTAACAATATTATTCTGGGAAGGGGTCTGTAGGCTTCACCAGACTGCTAAAGGGATCCGTGACTCAGAAAAAAAGGGAAGAACCTGTGTCTTTCCCACTTACTGGCTATGTGACCCTGAACACATCACTTCATCTCAGTTTCCTCATCTCTAGTAGCCTGCTTCAGAGGGCCATTCCACCCTCCCTTCTGTGGCTCAATAAACTGCCATAATCCAATAAAGAAGGAGATTTAGGGCGGGACTGAAAGAAAGCTGCCTGGCTTTGGCTCCTGGCCCTGTGGCCAGCCTGTGACCCTGACAAGGTCTTTTTCCCCCCTCTGTCCCTCAGTTTCCTCCCTCTGAAAGAATGGGAAAGGGCCCTTCCAGGTCTGAGATTTTCTTGTTCTCGTGGAGCAAAGGGAAGAGATTGTGAGATGGGTACTCACTGGGCTCGGTGTTCTAGGCTCCAGGCTCCAGGCAGGGGCTTCTGGGACAGGGTCATCCCAGCTGAAGTATTTATAAAGTAGAAGAGAGAGAAGTGATGGAAAGAAATTAGCTCTGCCCCAGGGCTCTGTCCTCCTTAGGATTACTCCCAGAGCTCTTACTAATGAGCACTCATTAATCAGTTCACCCCCAGGGCCTTGTTAGCTGTTTTGGGGGAACCTGAGGGCCCTTCTTATTGTCTCAGGGTGGATCTGTTGGAAGGAGAAGGAACTGGAAATGCCCCTGGGAAAGCTTCTTTACCATTCACAGATCTAGCCTTCAAAGCAATTACTATACTTTGAAAACCTTGAACCCAAACAGCTGTTGAGAGGATGCATCTTGTTAAATGATAAGAGAGGCTATTTTGAATAAGGTAGAAAGAGATAGGAACACCCCTCTTGTGGATGGATGCGCCTTACTCATTCTGCCATAGGACAGAATTTGGAGCCGAGTCCAATAAGATGCGCCCACTCATTGACTTGGACCAGCTTTCAGCCTCACAAACCATCAGAGTTGGGAGGGAGGACCTCAAATATGACACCTACAGAAATGGCAGAGGGAGAAAGTCAGGCCCAGGAAGTGGGCTGGCCTCACTCCCAGAACTTTGGAGGCCGTTATCCACTCTCTGGGCTTTGAGGATGACTGTTAGGAATCCCAAAGGTTTGTATCAATCCTTTAGGTTCCTGCCATCTTTTCCTCAGCCTGAAACCACTTGGGGCCCCAACCTTTTCCTTCCTGGAACCTTCGTCTGCATTAGTGAAAGCGGGACTAACACTGTTACCCACCTTGTAGGCCAGATAAGTGTCTGGGTCAGATTCTGGCCCACAGAGGGAGAAGTGGATCAGAGGACGGAGAGAAGACTTAAGGATCTTCTCACCAGTGAATGAGAAGGTTCCAGGAACCTGTGAGACTATTACAGTACTAGTATGCAAGCTGGTAAGTGCTTGGGGAACCTGGCAGGGTTCTGTAAATTGCAAAATGTCCTTTGAAAATGCTGAGGGACTTTGCCATCTTCTGCCTTCCAGGGTGGAGCCAGAGGGACATGCGAGCAGGGCCCGCCCCGGAGCACTAGTGGCCACTCACAGGAAGGTTTGCTCATTTGTAGCCGCTGAGATTGAACTGCTCACCAAAGTCATGGAGAAGATCCAACAGTGAGTCCAAGTTGAAGGTGGAATTCCTTACCAATAGCCTTAAAAATAAGAGTGAAAATTTCTTTAGTGCTTTAAATGCTTAAAAAAGAACTTAACATTGAACATAAATATGACCCATGAAACTTATTTAGGAAATATTGACAGCTTCATATCAGTGGTAGGCCATGTGGTATGCTATATGTGACATCTCCTAGCTGTGTGACCTTAGGCAAGTCCCCAGCTCTCAAGGCCCATAAGGCGCAGAATGGCTGCGATCTACATTAGGCCAGGGAGTTTCCTCAGGAGGAGTCAGCCTAGGAGCCATCAACCTAGGAGCCAGCAAAAGCTTGGCTTCAGGCCAAAGAAGGATTTTTAGCTCCTCCCTCAAGCCTCATTGGGATGCTTAGTTCGTTTGTTTATTTTCATTCAGTTTTCCTTTTGTGTGGTCCTCATTGACAGAGACTTCTAGTTGTGGTTATTCTGTCACTGCAGGTTAGAGCTTCAGATGCTCCTGTTTGGACATGATGGTCAACCCCAGAATCCTGTCACTGTAAATGTTGTGGATGATGTGTGCCCGACCTGTGATAGAACCTTCTGAGCTTATGTTGGTCTGATCAGCCACAGTTGGACACACTATACCTTGACTCCAACATAGTGATGTCATTTTGGAAGAAGAAGGAGGAGGAGAAGGAGAAGGAGGAGAAGAAGAAGAGGAAGAGGAAGAGGAAGGAGAAGGAGGAGGAGGAGAAGAAGAAGAAGAAGAAGAAGAGGAAGAGGAGGGAGGAGGAGGAGGAGAAGAAGGAGGAGGAAAAGAGGAAGAGGAAGGAGGAGGAGGAGAAGAGGAAGAGGAGGAGGAGAAGGAGGATTTGATGCAGGGGCAGCTAGGCGGTATAGTGGATAGAGCTCCAGCCTTGGAGTCAGGAGGACCTGACTTCAACTCTGGCCTCAGACACTTGACACTTAGTAGCTGTGTAACCCTGGGCAAGTCACTTAACTGTAGCCAAAAAAGGGGAACCCCCCCCCAACAAAAAAAAAGAGATTTGATGCACAGATCCCTCCCTTTGGACTACTTCGCTTCCTGTCCTAAATGCATTAATTTTTTTTGTGCAAAAGCTTGTCAATTTCTTATAATCAAAATGATCTGTTTTATCTTTTGGATTTGCCTCCATCCCTTGTTTGGTTAGGAATATATCTCCTAACCATTAGTGTGGAAGGTGTTTGATATGATCTTTAATATTCAGCTCACTTATCTATTTTAAAATTATTGTGGTATCCAGTATAAGGCGTTGTTCTAAAACTGATTTCTGCCAGACTACTTTCAAGTGTTCTCAGAAGTTCTTATCAGATGGGGGGTATTTTCCTAAGCAATTTATATTTTTGGATGTAACTCACCGCTCAAAGCCCATTTGCACAGGACTTGCCTCCATGTATGTGGGAGAGCTTGGGAGAAGAGAGATCCTAGTCTTCAGGTTTCCAGCTTTGAGACTTCAGGGAGTTTCTCTTGGGTGAGATCTAGGACACTCCCTTAGTTGAGATGAGATATCTCATCCCCTGTGGGAGAACTCATTAGCTATGTACTGTCTGACATATTCTCATCTACGAAACTTCTCTAATTTCTGATGGCTGTTGGCTTGGATAAACGTGTTTATTTTGGAGTTTTACTTAACTTAATGATTCCATTTTGTTTCTTCCTTTTATTTAATTATCTAATGCTTCTCCTCTTATTTCCCCTTCTTTTTTCCCTCTCAGTTGTCAATTAAAAATTTTCCCCTCTTTTCCTCTGATTTTTCTGTTTGTTGTTATTTTTTTCTCTTTTTGTAGCTTTTTCTTTAAAAAAAGATTTCTTTACCTCAGTTACTTCATTAATTCCCTTCTATTTATGTCTGTTCTAAACTTGGATTCATAGTTTCTATACTTATTTATTCTTGTTGTGTTCCTCATGGAATTAAAACTTCTAAAGAACTAATGTCTTCCAGGTATCACTTTGAAAGTTTGATGGTTACAGCATTAAAATGTAAATTGTAATTGGTAATATTGCCATTTTTATTACATTGGGATGGCACAGCCATGAGCATCGAACACTCTCTAACTGTTCAAGTTGTTCTTATTTTATTTAAGGAGCATTTTGTAATTGAATCTAGGTAAGTATTGAGTGTACTTTGATAGCTTAATTCCAAAATATTTTGTTTATTTTCTAGCTATTTGGAATAGGATTCTCCTTTCTGCTGTTGCCTCTTAGATTTTGTTATTATCATATAGGAATGCTGTGGGTTTATTTTGTAGTCTGTGACTGCTGAAATTATTAATTTTTTCAATTAGTTTCTTTGCTTATTCTCTACGATTCTCTAAGTAAACTATTGTTATCAGCAAATAGAAATACGTTCCCTCTATTCTTTGCATATCTTTATTCTTTGGATTTCTTCCTCTTATATTGTTGTTTTTGCTGGCATTTCTAGAACTACATCAGATAGATGCAGGGAGAATGGACATCCTTGCTTTTCCTTCTCTATTTATTGGGAAAGCTTCTGTTGTATTCCCATTGCATATGACATTTATTTTTGGTTTTAGAGAGAGAATTTTAATGCCATTAATAATAATAGCTAACATTTCTGTAGAACCTACTAGGTGCCAGGCACTTTACAAATATTATCTCATTTGGTTCTCACAACAACCATGCCAGGTGGGTGCTGTTATTGTGCCTGACAGTTACAGTTGAGGAAACCAGTGCAAACAGTTAAGTGACTTGCCTAGAATCAAACATCTAGTAAGTGACTTAAGCCAGATTTGAATTCGAGGTCTTCCTATCTATGGGCCCAGTGTTCTACATATTGTGATATCCATCTGCCCATTAAAAAAAGATCTATTCTATGCTACACTTTATTTTTTTTAAAGCATAAATTAGCTGTAATTTGTCAAAAGCTTTTGCTGCATCTATTAAGATAATCATGTGGTAAGGGAGTGTGTTTGTTTTTAATATGATTAATTATATTGATTGTTTTCCTAATGTTGAACCGTTCTTTGATCTATAATATAAGCACAGCTCTGTCAGAATGAATGATTTCTTGGATGACTTGTTGGAGTTCATTAGACTTTTTTTTTTTGGTAATGAATATTTATGATACTGGTCTATAGTTCTCCTGTGATCTACACTTTCAAGGTTTAACTGTTAGGGTTGTATTTGTCTCATAAATGGGAATCTGCGAACATGCTGTGTCTTTCTCCATTTGGGGAGTAATTTCTGCTCTTCGTTTTTCTTTAAAAGTTTGTCTCAGATCATGAGGAAGATCTGAGGTACACTTCATTAGATGGGATCATGGCATGGAGTTCTGCCTCAGTTTCTTTTATTGTAGGCTGGGCGATTTAAAACTCCACAGCAGAAAAGGAGAGGGCAGTTTACAGACAGTTGGTATATATATAGCACTGCATTTATATCACATCCACATGAGATGATAGGCAAGTGAAGACTCATGACATAATCAGATGTTAAAGCCTTTGACTAGCTTACAGGCAACACATTAATTGAATTTTGGCTCAACTTTAATGTGACCTAGTATCGTTTTATAATTTGCACTTAATCAAATTTTGTATTACTTGAGTTTGCATCAATCATAACCTAGCTGTAAATGCTAGCTATTTAGGATTATTTAGTTTTCAATTAACTTTCAATCCTTTCATCAAATGCCCTTTAATGAATATATTTTTATTGTGTTGTAGTCAATAAAGGAGAAAAAAAAATTTGGTAGAATTCTCGCAAATCTGTCAGGACCACAAGGTTTTTTGTTTGTAGTTCCTTTACAGCTACTTTTATATGTATTTTTTTCTGAGATGAGATTATTTAAGGTCTCTATTTGGTATTCTGTTAGTTTGAGTATTTTATACTTTCAAAGGTATTCCTCTGTCTCTTTTGTGTTCTCAGTCTTGTTGGTATATAGCTGTGCATAGAAGATTTTGATTTTACCTTGTTTATTTTTTATTTTGTTGATTTGCCTTTCTGCTCTCTTAGCCTCAGGTTGGCTAAATGTTGATCAATTTTGCTATTAATCTTTTCAAAGAGTCATTTCTGCAGTCTTCTTAGTTTCTAATTTATTTGCTACCCCTCTAATTTTCAAGATTTCCTCTTCTGTGCTTATTTGGAGTTTATTTGTTGGGTTTCTCATTTCTTTTTTTATTTTTTTTTGGCATTTCTAATTTCTTAAATGTACATTTAGTCCATCAATCCTGTTCTTTCCTATTTTGTTAATATGTGTTTTTATGGATATATTTTCTCTCCTGAGGACTACTTTAGCTGCATCCCAGAAATTTTGTTTTATCATTAACCTTGTCTTTCACATAATTATTAATTATTTATATGATTTGTTATTTGATTCAGTCATTTAGGATTTCATTATTAAGTGTCCATTTGGGTCTGTGTCTTTTGTTTGTGATCTGTGAACTGATTACTATTTTTGGTACATTATGGTCTGTATAGAATGTGTTTTGTATTTTTGCATATAAAATTAAATAAAATGGTCCCTGGCAGATTTGTGCCTACATCACAGACTACATTATTAGTATTAATATTTTTTTCTTCATCAGAATGCAGATACTCTGCCATTTTTGGAACATGTAAGTTTAATGTTGCTATCAGTTCTTTTCAACATAATATAATTTCCTCATTTACCTCAGTTTATGTTAGAATTTTTTTTTTGCTTTGTCTGATAGTATGATTTTTGGATTCTCCTAATGTATAGAATTTTGTTTCAGTTTGTCATTTTTATTTTGTGTATGGCTTTGATTTTAGATGTGTCCTTTGTAAGCAACAAATTGTGGGATTTTGTTTTCTTATCCAGTCGCTCACTCTCTTTTGTCTTATTGAATTGTTTGATCTATTCACATATAAAGTTGTTAGAGTTAGGGTTATATTTTCCTCTTTTTCTGTCACATACACACACACGTATATGTATATGTGTATATTTACGTGTGTGTGTGTGTGTGTGTGTGTGTGTGTAGTTTTTTCGAATTTGGATTTTTTTGGTTTCCCTTTTTCTCTTTACTTTGTTTCTTGAATTAGTTTTTTGTTTTTGTTTTTGTTTTTGTTTTTTTGGCTAGGCAATGGGGTTAAGTGACTTGCCCAGGGTCACACAGCTAGTATGTGTTATGTGTCTGAGGTCGAATTTGAACTCAGGTCCTCCTGAATCCAGGGCCAGTGCTCTATCCATTGCGCCATCTAGCTGCCCCTCTTGACTTAGTTTTGCTGAATCTATTTTAGCACAAGCCTATTCCTACAAGCTCTCTTCCTTTGCCCTTCAAATGCCTCCTTTGCCCTTTTGTTAGCCTTTTCCCTAGTTTTTGGAGTTTCAATTAACTTCTTGATTCCATCTTGTTTCTTCCTTTTATTTAGTTATCTAATGCTTCCCTTCTTATTTCTCCCCTCTCAGTTAGTTAATTCAAAATCTCTATCTCTTTTCCTCTGATTTTTTTTGTTTGTGTTTTTTATCTTTTTGAATTTTTTTTTTTTAGGCAATTGGGGTTAAGTGACTTGCCCAGGGTCACACAGCTAGTAAGTGTCAAGTGTTTGGTTTGAGGCTGTATTTGAACTCAGGTCCTCCTGACTTCAGGGGCAGTGCTCTATCCACTGCGCCACCTAGCTGCCCTTGTACCTTCATCTTAAAAAAGATTTCTTTACCT